CAAGTAGTTTTGTCTGAGATCCTGAATCTCTTCAAGAATTAGCACCAGGCTGTAAGCCTTATGTGCAAGGAAGCCATTCTCAGTCATGTTCCTTGGATTCTTTTTGTTCAAATTAATTTGTGGGTTGGTGCAAGACTATTCTGCAGTCTGGTCCAAGTCCCACTTTCAATTTTGTTAATCAAAAATTTTGATAAAAATTTTAAGTTACGCATTAGCATGAACAGTACAGATATCAATTTGTAATGAACTTTTAATATCTTATCACTTCTGTTTCAGGTTTCTGAAATGAAAACTCATGCAAATATAATTTTGTTTTTAATTAGGTGTTGTAAATGCTTCTTCGTGTCCTGTTTAACCTCTGTTTTTGTTTACTTTGTGCCACTGAATATCTGCATATGCATGAGCAAAAGTGTAATGTCATCCAGGGTGACAGCTATGGCTACTCTAAAGTTGGGCCTGACCATTGGTATTTGGCTGTTGTGACGTTTGTTTATTTTGGTTTTAATTTTGGTGATATGTTGTTTCATTTCATGACAATAGGCTTGTGAGCAAAGTTTTCTCGCAAATATTTTCAATGAGCCAGTGTTGAGCTAATGTTTCTAACTGCATCAATTTCCCGAGTGTCTCCCAAAGATCTACTGAGGCAGTAATGCATTGGGTTGTTTTTAACCTAGTTCAAATTTATGACTCCTGAAAATTACACGAAGAAAAGTGTCATTTAGAGAAAGAAAATTTGGTTAAGTTATGTCTGTGTGCCTTAAAGCTCAAAGTAAAAAAGTTTGAGTGTAAAATGTAGAGAACTTCATCGTTTTCAGGGAATATCATGTTTGTCATGTATAAATAATGTAGAATGAATAAACCCATAGTTTACATATGTATAATCATCATTGCTGGATGCGGGGGGGTATGGGCCATGCCTCCCCAAAGATCCAATTTTGTGTTTAAGAAAAATAATGACTAAGTGGAGATATACATTCTATATCCAAGGTGAAGACAATGGGAAACTTTGAGAAGCTTGGTGGCAACAAACGTACCGGTCCTTTTTTACCAGTCTGAGCATGTGTGCATAGTGTTACGTATGCACAATAACTTGAAAAAGGACCGGTTGTGTGCTGCCACCAGGGTCTCAAAGTCTCTGCATTGTGTTTTGCTGCAAACGTACAAAAAAAAAGTATTCGTCACGTAGAGATACATAAATGTAACAAGTGAAGGTGCCTTAGGAAGGATTTGTTTATTTTTCCATGAATTGTTGGACGGTGCCATGATATTACTGAGGAAAAAGAGTGCCATTTTTTTCTCGATGAGGTTGAAAGTGAAAGTGGATGTCTACCTCAAAGCTCAGAAATGTTATTCTGATGCTTACAAACTAGTTTAACTAATTAATGGAATAATCCTTGCAGAAATGAGGCTTCAGACTTGGCTGAAAATCTGCACTGGAATGAATGAAGTTGTTGAATCAGTTCACAGGGACTCAGGTTGTTCAAAGTAGCCCGTTATCAACTTTTTGTACAGTTGTTATGGCTAACTGGCTATGAACCAATCGACTACTTTTTTAAAAAAATCAAACAGCCAGAAGAGGCACAGCTTTATGATCACGTACATGTATTTGGCAGGTCTTTGTATTCAGATTCTGTTGTAATTGCTTATTTTTTAGGGCTCATTATTTGTCTTAAATTTTCAGTCAAATAAGGGGGTTCTTAGTAGTGTCATTTAATACCTTATGTTGTAGCATTTGTCCATATTAGCAATCTTTTATTGCACTTATTTTCAAAGTGGAATTTGATACTTCTGGTTGAGCTGAAATAAAGTGACATGTATTTTTAGATCTGAGCTAAACAGGAGTTTGATTTTTTCGTTTCCTGTCCCACATCTTTTTTGTTTTCTTTGTCACCGGAAGAAAGGTCATTTATTGCAAAAACTAATTAATGTTAACAAAATGCGGTACAAGATTTGTGTAATTTTGCGGAACTTTTTAACTGCACGGCAAACAAATGATCAATTAATGGAGTAACATTGTGCCTCTTTTCCAGGGCCCAATTTGTATTTCCTTTTTTTTACCAAAAGGGTCAGTCAAGTTCTCAGTCTCGCATGTCAATGATGTTACTGTTGGCATGACGTATTTACATGACTTACAGTGGTGGCACTGTGCAGCATTTCGGCAAATGCAGCACTCTTTAGCTTGAAGAGGCTCGTAACGTGCGCGTACCAACTGGCCATGACTGACGAGTGTTGTGCCACCCAAAGACCATATTTTACATGATCTTTCAGGTGTCATTGCTCTGGATTTTTATTTATTTAAATGCTTGGATGACTGCGTCGGTCGTACCGAATTATTAAAAAGAGGAAGACTCCACTACAGAGGCTGCAATCATGGAGAAAGGAATAGCCCACTTGTAATCGTGACTTCGCATTCACCAAACAAACGGGACATGTGGGTACAGTCAACTAATTCAAGCCCCATTGAAAACAGTTTAAAATCAGCACTGTTCAGCCTTGGCAACGTCCGTGAGATTTCAGAAACACAAATAAAATTATTGTCTGGTCACTAATCTTTCAATTTCTTTTCAATTTTTTGTGGATTAACCAATTACACTTTTAATTATTCCCACAAACAAAATCACCCCCCGAAAAGTGCTTTTTCTGAAGTCCGATTGCAGCCATTTTTCAAGTGGCATACCTCAACTTTCTGGGGCATTTAGAACCATGATTTTTCAACCGTTGTTTTTAGCCATTCTGCTCTCATATGAAAGCTCAAAGACCAAGGGAGTTCATCCTGGTAACAATTTACACAATCTCTCCATTTTGGGGGCCAAACAATCTCCTTTTTCAAAAGATACTAGGGGGGCCTTTTAATGCTAATGAGCTGGCCAGAAATTCTCATTTGAATTAATGGTCTGCACCAGACCAGTTCCATTAAAATTGTCCACTGCCAATTTGTTGTCCATTGGTGGCGCCCTTCACGGTTTATCGTTCGAAATTTGAAGTTACATCAGTTCGGAGGTTGCCAGCCCATGGTATTAATTTTGGTAATTTTTTGGTTGAGAAAATGAATTCTTCAGCAAAAGTTGTGATTTCATCGAACAGAAGCAAAAAAGTTCCCGTCAGAGGTTTTGACAAACCCAAAACATTAAGGTAAAAAAAAGTCATTGGTCAGTGCATAGACTCGATCGATCGAGCAAGCTTGCAAGGGATTTCACAGGATCAGGATCATACGTAATCATGCAGATCAGAAGATTGTGCCAAAAACATATTTCGCTGGCATCCCATTTTTTTTTATAAACGTTGACACGGTATCGATAATATCTAATTACTAATTTACTCTTGATGAACAATAGTATTAGGGCCTACTGTTAGTAAACATTCCAAAAATTCCTGATTACTGCCTGCAGCTTAGCCGGACAAGCGGGGTCAGTAGTATCGAAGCAATATCTGTGGTGTTTTCTTTGCAGTTAACTAGGCCAACATGTGCAACTTATCACAGTGACTAGGAAATGTAGAAAAAAAAATATCATTCAATAATAGATTTGCTTTTGTCGTCTTGAGTAATTTTAAAAAAAAAGATTTTGATACAGCAATGCAGTGTTTGAAATTTTATTTTGTCACTCCAAAACATCCTTTTTCAAAGTCTTTGTACGAATTTGGCTAAGACTGGCCAACAACGTGTTGACCACCACAGAACAGTGAAGTAAAAAAAAAACCAAAATGTGCTGTTTCATCACAAGGAGTGCTCATCATAGAATACCTTTTTGTGTAAATCCCGTAATAAAAATGATTCAAATTAAACACAACATCTTATAAATAACTTTGCTATTAGTGTTACCATGGAGAAATAAAACACTGTGTTTTATTTCTCCATGGTGTTACCAAAATTAGTGCAGAAGAAAGTATTTGATAAGGGCAATAACTGCACATGAACACTTCGGGTTCACAGCCTAATTAAAGCAATTGCACAAGCATTAAATTTGATGTTGTCAGATCATACCAAGCACCAACGATGGCATGAATATTCAACTTCCTATACTGCAGTACACAACATTTTAAGGATGCAGATTACCTGCGAAAAATTGCGGCGATGATTATGGGATACAAAGGGGGCTTGTGGGTGTGAAACAGGTGGTGCGTAGCAAGCATTCGCTGTACTCTGGCTATGGACATACCAGGCATGCCAGAAAATGGTAATTGACCGGATGTTATGGCCTTGGCAGTTCAAACTCCTGTGTCCTTCCTCCATGACCGAGTTTTCTTGGCCAAGTAGGCCTAGGGCCTAAGTGGTTACAGCCTGCAGCCGGCTGAAGACTCAGGGACCCGATTGCTACATGTACAGTCATTTTGGATTTTATTCTAACCCCTAAAATGTTACAAGATGTACAATGTACATTGCCAGGATATTTCACTTTTCTTTCCTAATCCTCGTGAATCTCTGGGCCCCTCTCATGGGGCTTGTATTTCTTTCCGTGATCTGTCATGGTCATGTCTGTGGCTATGGAGGATTTTTTTTCTGTTGGGGGGGGGGAATTGGAATTGCACAAGGTGGGAATCCCATCTTATGAATAGGAATTTACAATGTTAAAGAAATAATAAGGAATTAAGATTAAGAAGGAACCAGACAAAGATTTACTGTGGTAATGCCATGCTAGAATAGCAACATATCAGGACACTGAACCGGTCAGATATCTACTGCTGAAGTAAAAAAAACCTTGATCTAACATTCTGTAAATTCTTACTGTTGCTCAAACTAAGTAATTAAATGTCTCATATGGAATATATCCCAGCCTCTGTGATAAAGCAGTGTACTTGTGTTATATGGCTCGGTGCATAACTGCTGCATACACATACAATACTCACTCCCCCAGTAAAAATAAGAAAAATGTGTGTCATTTCTGATGAATTTCAAAAAATGAGGAACGGCAAGAGTTTTGTATCCAGTCACCATGTGTGTTTTCCTGCCACCAAACGTAGCAAATTATACTTGACCTGTACATTCACTGAAGATCTGTCTATTCAGCTTGAGCGAAAAGCTGAAATTGTATTCAAAGTTGTTTTCAGTCATATTTGTACAACTTGTAGGTGTTGATAAAACTGGAAAGTCATAATAGCCAGGTATTGAAAAATTGATTGTTTTGTGTTCCGACCGGTGACAACAAATAAAAATTTTAAAATTGGTGCATTTTAGCAATTGGAGGAACCATATGTAGCAACATCCTGTAGAGTTTCCTTTCTTCCACTTCTGTGACCTGCGTTCGAATCCTACCCAAGTCAGCATGTGGATTTGGTTTTCAGTCCCTGCCTGACTCCATGGGTTTTCCCTGGAATATTTCATCTGGGGTTTTCCTCCCACCTCTGAAACTGAAGATTTCTTCAGTGTCTTCTTTAATTGTCACTGTATCCTGTAATCGGCGCTGCACGCACTGTTGGACGAACAGAATGAAATAAGTTTCTTTCCTTCACAGCTACACACAGTTGAAGGAGGAGAACAGCATCCTACACCAACGCAATGCTGATCTAGAACACAAAGTTTCCAAGCAGAACAATGCTCTAACTGCTGCACAGGTACATGTATGTTGGTTTTAACTCTTGATGATTGGTGTAAGCTTCCAGAACTTACTTTGAAGCTGCCAGCTAGCTGGTGAGATGGTCTCAAAGTCAAAAATAAAAAATCTCCCAATAACAGCAGTCTGCCTGCGTGTAACTGCAAGTACACTGATTTCTTCGCATTAGTTATGATCAGTGTGTTTATTACTTCCTTTGAACTTGACTGCATTTCTGTCTCGGGTATCGATGCTTTTTGTACGCTCTCTCTGCAGTTACAAATAGGGCTGTGCCGAATATCTGAATATTCGATTGATTGTTAAATATTTGAATATTATTTTTTGAATCTGAATAATCGAATGCGAAATTCATGAAACGGTAAAGGAAGGGAAAATTTTCTTTTTGTTTTAAATGAAAAAAATTGCACTGTGGAGGCTTGTTTCAAGCAGATTCAAATGAAAAACGTCAGAAATCTTACAATGATTTAAAGAGTAAATTATTTATTAAATAATTTAAAAGGAATAGAAATTTTCAACAAGGCAAGAAGTTTCGTTTGTCTCTTAAATCTTGCATAATTGTGGCTGGAGATACTCCTAGATGCGAGAAGCTATTATATTGATCAAAATGTACAATTTTGTGTGTTACTGCAACTGATTTTGTATATGGTTTGTTCATCAACAATCTGCTGGTCGGTGCAACCGAATATTCGGATATTCGATCAAATTGAAGGTCAAATATTTGAATTGTAAATTATTTGAATTGACTCAGCCCTAGTTACAAATGATTTTAGGTTTCTCATGATCAAACATAGCAACCGTACCAGGCCAAGAAGTCACGCGGTAATTAAATTTTCACATGCAGAATGAATTTTAAAATTAAAACCCCTGAGAACATTACTTTGTGTCTCAATAAGTGTGGTTAAGAAATATCACAAGGACCTTTCAACTCATCCACTTATTTCTTTCCTGAAGTGACCAGCTCACGATAAGAGAACCTTTCAAATGAACCAAATCTGTCTGTAGGCTGCATCAAGCATGTGCCTGTCCCCACGGATTAAAAAAATCCAAATTTATTTTACAGAGGAATGCGAAGACATTTGAGAAGGAAAACCAAACTTTGAAGGAGCAGCTTGAAGAAGAAAGAAAGCAGCAAACAGGTGAAAGAAACCACCCTTCTAAGATGCTCTAAAAAATCATTGTTTTCTAGTCGCCTGACCTATTTATTTATTTTGTTTATTTATTTATTTATTTTTGTATTCCATTTCTTTACCCAGGGTATGCCCAAACAGTTAAAAACTGGTGCCCATTGGGGCCCTGCATATTACAAACAATTAAGTAATGGTAAACTCACATCACAAGATTATTATTTTGATGGAAGGTACAATGAACACGAAATCAAATAAACTAATTTCAACATACATGTACCGTACGTCATAGAATAAGCAAATGAACATGGCACTGGTAAAATAAAAAACTAAATTTACTCATTTTGTTCATGGTAAAACACATATTTAGATGCTGATTATGTTACCAAATTTAAGAAACCCATTGGGAAGAACGGGGAAATTCTGATCCGGCTCCAGCGTACTTTGTGAGCATGCTGGCATCCTAGTACCAAGACTCCGTAGATCAGCTTTTGATTAATTAAAGTCAATTAGAAACTGGTTTTCATGGAGCTCTGCATAGTACAGACAATTAAGCAGTGGTAAACCCATAGCACAAGAATATTACATTGTTGGAACATACAATGAACACTCGTACAATATAAAAAGTAATTTAGCATACAAAGTGCGTCATAAAACAAGCAAATGAACATAGCACTGGTAAAATAAAAATAAACTTATTTATACATTTAAAACATAAATTCCCATCCGGCTTTGGTATACTTGTATATATTGGCAACCTAATTCCTGACTCCGCAAATCAGCTTATGGGTAAAGTCTGTGACATAACCATGACTGTAAAATGATATTTAGAGTCAGTTTGAATAATGACGGCAGGCTCTTCTTGTTTGTAGTAATTTGAAAGGCACCAAAAGTTGTATTAAAAGTCCTATAGAGAATGATTCCCCAAGCCTCACAATCTTACAGGTTTCACCAGATAGCCTTTGATTATAATTCTGTCCTTGAATGGGTAAGGCAGTTAATTTTTCTTGCTTGTGTTTCACACAAAAACTCCAGAAGGTTACAGGCATGATTACATTACAGACTACCTTGGGTAAAGAGAGGCCATGGTATTTCGCACTCTCAGGACACTGAGCTGCCCAAATCCCATGACTCAGAACGGCAGAGATACTTGGAGGTTTATTCATTTACAGGTAGTTCCACAGTTTGTTTTTCAGGCCGCCTTGTATATTATGGTATGTACCGCTCTTTGTGTTTGATGACAGAATATGTTGAAAATGTGACCAAGCAGTGGACAACAGACAAAGAAATGCTCACGGACAAATTGTAAGTAAACCTGTTTCCTGGAACGGGATATGTGAACCAATGTCAACAGTAATTGTTGTAGCATAGAGTCTGTCCGAAAATGTTCCTGTCGTCACCATAAAATTTGGACTTGCAGATCATGGATGACAAAAGGCCCGGAACATGTTTTCTTTTTCTCGTATTTTATTAGATTACGGTGTGAGATGAAGCTGGAAGACCTCGGAGTGAATCCAGGTAAGGCTTTGTAGAAAAAGAAAGCTTTAATAAAAATTGACATGTCATTGACATTTATAAAAATTGACACGTCATCGGAACATGTCATCGATATCCTGAAATGGGTTAACCCCTTCCCGCCGAGAAGCAGCTAGACACACTATAAAAATTGAGATCCTCAGCCTACTTTTCAGCTATTATTCTCGGCCTACGCTCAAGCGAACACGGTGAAAGAAGGCAGACCCTGGCTCTTGAATGGTAATTGGTCTTTGTGCGTAGCCCAGAAATTAAAAGACCAAATTTGCATCATAACCACCAGCTTCACAATAGTCCCCACTTTGAAAAGAGGTAACGGCAATGTGGAAGGGTGAGTAGAGCCGCATGCCACTGAACAATCAGCCTTTTCACCATGTAATTCAAAGCGTGCAGAGCACGGAGGGCCACAGACGGAGAATTTGCGGTTTAGCAAGTGGCCTTCGTGGCCAAGCGAGGCTGGAATTTTTGGAGTCGGCTTTCGGGAAGAAATTCCCCTCGTCAAGGGGTTAAGGTGGTGCTCGCATTCCCAAACTTGTCCACAGGGTCAAACAGTGGCCTGATTTATTAGGTGGTTGTTAAGGTCATTTTTTTCCTCTACACTATGTTTACCAGACCTCCATTCAGGATGCAACAAGTTTCTAAATATTTTGGAAAAACCATCTGCAATTCTTTTCAGTCATATTTTGTCAAAATTACGGACTCCCCAACTTTTGAAAGTCAGTTGAACAGCATACAACTGAGGATCTTAGGGGCCCACAATTTCCCGATTCAAAGAGGTGATCAACTTCTCATTTTTGTAGTCTATTTACAAAATTACCCTTCACACCAATTTTCAGCTTTGCACCTGTATAAGTATAAATTTGGGGTCCGATGTGTGACCTTTTTCCTGTCCGTTACACCTGACTTGCGTAATTTGACAAGGAATATCTTGGATGTTGATTTCAAACCCTGGCATTTTGTATTACTGGTACTTAATCACTCTTGGAAATTAATGAGTGTTCTACATTTAAAAATCATATGCCAGATGCAACAGGGACAGAAAAATAAAGTGGACCCCAAATTTACAGAATGACCCTAATGCTACCGAAACAAGCAATTCATGAGTGCCCAAATGGGGCACTGCTCCCAAAGCTTCAAATATATGAAGTCGAAAATTACATCCCTACCTCCCTTTGTTTGGTTTATAAAAGCACCTTGAGTCAGCTTCTTTTTCAAGCAAATTGGATTTGGGTCACATGGGAGATTCCTCGATTTTGTGTGATTAGGCATGGAACGACCCTCTTAAGAATGGACACAATTTGATTTGGACCGAGGATTTTAGCTATGAACTGAACTCAAACAGTTGGCAGAAATGTATGTTTTGTGTAATTTACAACTGTAGGATATGTGTGGCCGAGTTCTATACTCCTGAATTGATTCCACTGAAGCAAAAGGCTTCTTTTTTCGATGGTTAAAGAGGTAGGACTATCACATGTGAAAGTGAAAAACCCTAAAATGCCTTACCACCGAAGGGAATTCAGCACCACAGTTTGCAAATGGTCCATCTGTTTCTTACTCTGTTATTTCTCATTTTTAGTAACTTTAGATGACGGCACAAATACATATGAAGACAAACTGCTTAAGCAGGAGGCTGCGGTGAGTCTACGCTGTAGGAGTCTGCCACTGTTTCACACGCTGGAACTGTTCAAGTCTTTGCCTGAATTATTTATGTAGTGTTTGACAACAGAGCCAAATCAAGATTCATAGAGCAGTTGGCACACAAAGCTGTTGAGTTAATGTACATTTACATGGATGCCCATGTGAAAACACTTCGTAGAGCAGGGTAACAGCTGACATGGCTCACACTGCAAATTGCTTGAAGCAGAAGCTAGGTAGATTGTGTAAAACAGTATCATTATTTGTAGCTCAAACAATGACTAAAAAGATTGATGTGCATTTTGAGTGGCACAGGAAAAATGGTTTGACTTGCATGCATGCACCATAATAATCTCAGAGATGCTTGAAATGTTTTGTTATTAGTATTTGTTTGGTTTGATAGAAAAGGGCCGAGGTCCTGAGAGAGAGGTTAGAGGAGAATATCTCAAATAGCCAGAACTTCCTCCAGAGAATGCAAGTGAGTAGACATTTTACCGTGACTCAAGCACCAAAGTGGTTTGGGCATTAACGCATTGCTTGACAATTTTCCATACCGAACCAGGTTGAGAACTGTCAATTTTACCAGTAATGTGGGAGGTAATCAGAGGCAAACAAAGTTCTTCTTGCTTTGGACTGTTAATGAAAGAAAATGAGATTCCTCTGTTTTGGACTCAATATGAACTATGCTGTCATGTCATACAGCTGAAGCATTTGTCTTCAAGCCAACTTCAGCCGGGATTATTTCCAAAACAGTGTTGGATGTTATGAATTAGTTATTTGTTGCGAAGAGATAAACTGTTATCGCGGCTGAAAATAATGTCAACTTGTCAAACAAACTAGTGTCTCGCATAGGTTGAACACATTTCTTCAGGATGTCTTCTGCAAGGACACTGTGAGACAGTTGATTTGCCAATCTGTAGGGAGCTATTGCTGATGCAGATAAACAGATAAGAACACTTGTATCAATTTTAAACATAGCCAAACATGATTTTATTCATCCTTGAAATATTTTTTTACAGGAAATAGCAATGCAGAGTCGGGAGGCCTTGAAACAGCTCGACTGCTGAGGAGCCGTAAGTCCACTTTTTCACGTGCCGTTTACTGGCTGCAGAAAGGCACTGTGAAACACAGAGAACCAAGTACCATCACCCCCAAGGAAATACACGTACATGTATGCCGTGCAAGTGTAAGGAATGGGACATGTGAAAGAACAAACCATTCTGGTTTGAATACAGTGCAGGTGCGGGGCCAACTATCAATCAATTATTGATGAAATTTTGTATTAGGGTATGTAAATTTTAGTTTGTAAATTCTTACATTTTGTCCCAGACAGCATACCATTACAAACAAAAAACTGCCCCACATAAAATTCGTCCTTTTATTTTAATTTCATGACAATAACCACTACAGTTCCACTGTGTAACAAAGACAATTGCCTTTTGTTCTGATGGGCACCATTATTTTAAACCTCAGCACTGCTGAGACTGTCATTGGTCTTTTCAGATGCCATCACAACGAGCAATTGCTTTTTGGCTGAAAGTACAATTGTAATGAGTGTAATATACTTGGATTTTTTTAATTCAAAGAAAGTTTTGCCTTTTGTTAAAGCAGTTTAGTCAATGTTGAACACAGAATTATCAATGTCTCCAACCAGTTTCAGAGATTTCAAGTGATCATGTTTAATCACGACTTGTTAACTGGAAATAATAAAAACCTGGATTTAAAAAAGAGATCTGGACCATTGAAGTGATTTTAATAAAAATCGATTTTGAAAGTTCATTGAAACTTGACTGATTAGCTGATTCAGTAGGTTTGTTGTAAGCAGTGGATCAATAAGTTTAAAGATGGCCAAAGCTTGTTCATGGATCTGATTTGACGTCAGCTGTGTGCATTGCATAACTGCCGACAGTCCTCCTCCTGAACGCCCCGGTAGACGTCAAAGTGATGGTTGAGACCCTTCTGGCAGTGGATCAGGTACTTGCTGCCCAACGCTCCCTCGGGATGGCTGACGCCGTAGAACACTCGCCTGATCCGACTATGCACCAAGGCCATAGCACACCTGTGTGAATCGACGCGAGATACGATCTTCAGATTTTTGTGCATTATCACTGGCCTTGGAAGTTGTAGCTGACAAGGTGGAAACATGGGGAACTTAAATCGGCCCCCTCCGCTGCAAGAATCTAGTCACCAGAAATTGTTGCCCAGTTTTTAACAGTGAGCGATGATGTTCCTGGAAATTTTCCCAAAGTTAAGTAGCCTTTTCCTAATGGTCTTTAACTTGTCCAACAATTTCCAACTTTATCCCCCCTATTCCTTAAACCTTAGACCCTTCAACCATGGTCCATTCTTCAACATAAGTTCCAACCAGTTCCCAGGTTCTTGACTTTCCACTCCTTAGGCTAAAGCTACGACTAATAATAGCTGCATAAAAACATTTCTTTTACTAATAGCTGTCTAGTGGATAGTAGGAAATCCCCTGCATCTTGGAGTTCCCACTTTTCAAAAGTAAAATGTTGAATGAAGACTGTGTTGATTTTTTTCCACTTTGGAAAATGCCTGACAGCACACATGCTGTTTAAATTAAAAAAACCAACATTAATGATGAACATGCCAAAAATGTAGACATGATAACAGATTTGACATACATGTACCTTGTGTGAACAAGTAAAAGGAACCAGGAAAGAGAAATCTTTTTATAAATTTTTACTAACAACCCTTGAAATTGCATCTTTGGATTTCAATTAACCTCATTTTAAATTTGTGTTTTGCAATTTTAGCCCATGTTTTGATGCTTTTTTGGTTTTTAAGCTAATGCTTTTTGCATATTCATGAGCAGAACTATGATGTCATCCAAGGCACTGAATCTCAATGTTGCACTGATTTGTGCACAGAAAATTTCTAGATTTTTTTAACCGCTGCTATGGCAGATTCCATTTTCTTTGATAATTTACTGCTGTGTAAGTTAAAGGCAATAATCCAGCAAAAATCCTTTTCACAGAAATGTTCCCAGACTGCAAATTTAGGGTTCACAATTTGAATATGAAAACATGCAACCTGAACCATATCGTCCTGGATAAGCAAAAGTGCCCTCACGTGTCCAGAAATGCTTGATCAATTTTTAATGTTTGAAAAAGTGCACCGTTCAGTTCACACAACTCAAAAAAGATATCAAACAGTCTTCGAACATGGAAGAAGAGTACAGATATACACAAAAAGTGATTCTAAGAAAATTGATTTCCTGGATCCTTCAGTAGGAGTTACTGTCCAACCATAACTAAGAAAAATTAATCACTCATCGGACTGTAAACAATTTAAATCAGAAACTGTCTTCTAGTTTGGTATTTCAAAACAGCAGGGTCATTCAGGAACAAAGCACGTGCATGAATCTATCCCGGGCCGTGTTGATAGCACAGACCTCACACATGTATCAGAATTCCTTTCATTTTTGGCACACTCTGTTGAGATACTGCACTGGCTCATTGTGGCGTCAGGAGTCTTATGCCTTGGACCTGATTTCCCCTCCCTGTCATTAACCTAACCCTCCTCAATCCTTCACCTGTTGGAGGATTGAGGAGGGTTAGGGTTAGAGCAGTCTGTTGAGTGTATCAACTGCCCATTTTAACCAACTAACTAACCAACCCTAACCCCTTGGGGACCACTGAAATCATGCATAACCTTGTTGGGTTCAGCATGGTTAGGGTTAATTGCTCATGTTGAGAGACATTTCCGTAAACTTGTTAACTCACTGTGTCGGCCATTTAAGAAATGAGGATATTTTCTCTCCAGTCACTTACATGACACATGGTTCCCGTGTGATGTACAGATCATAACCTGTACAAAGATAGGGCCCCTGTGGCTTAGAGATCCCTGATGAGCCATGATCGCCAGACTGCCGAGCTAATCCCGCTGCTTCATTCCTATCCGTGCGGTCATCAACACAGCATGGTGATAAAATCCTTCCATTATCCCCCCTGGACGGATTAGCACTTCCTTCCCTAGGAGTCTTATCTACACAGTCTGGAGTTTGAATCCCAATTTTGTCGGTCTCGTCTGTAATGTCTGGTGGCTCCCTGCTGGCCCCAGGATATACCAGTGAGCCTTTGACAGACAACACACTGGGATCCCTGCTACTGTCAGTCGACACTGTGTTCGTATCTATTTGTTGAGCAGCTGTATCACCTGTGTCAATCTCATGGGTCATGAAGTAATGTCCTGGTGCTACAGCAAAGAGATAAGAAAAAAACCCCAAAATTAACATACCTGCAGCTAAAGTGAATCAACTTCATTTGATATTGCACTGAACAGAATCTGCTCAAATAAAAGTCCACACTATCTCCAGAGAATTTACATCCCCATGGAGACTCATCTTTAAACTGCAGTTGCACAAAGAGCTCTTGTACACTTTTTCCTGGATTATCGTGAAAGTGAACACAATCTTGCATCTTTTTCTTTTCATGTAAACCTGTAAGGTAAAAGTGACACTAAGCTATTTGAAAGAATCTAAACATCTAACCAACCACTCCTTGGACTGGAATAGAGAAAAAGCTCTTTCTAAAGGGGGTGAGGGCAGAGCACTCCTCGGCCGTTAACTGACCAACCAACAGTGCTGGAAGGAGGCCTGTCCAGAGTGTGATGATCCCCTTTCCTTCTTTCTTTTTCATTTCTATTTTCCCTCCTGTTTTATTTTTCCATTTTTTTTTTCAGGAGAGGAATTCCCCCCCCCATCCCCCTCACAATGCTCATGCTTGGAGACTGCTCAGAGTCACAAGATCACATAGGTCAACTAAACAAGGCCTGACAGCCTTTGGAGTCCTAGCCTGTAAGCCGCCATAGGATTCAATTATAACAATGTTTACTGCCTTGCCTTTGCCCAGATCTGGCAGGCACTTTCTGCTGTTGACTGCCCAGTGTGATGAGGTCCTCACAGATCTGTCCACTGCATGATCTGTATAATCCATGAACTATCATACTTGACATGTTCAGTAGCTCGAGAGTTGACTAAGGATGTAAAAATATCATTGCCGGACTGAGGACTAGGATGAACGGGCTAAAAATTGGGGTGAATTGGCCGACGGAGACAGCTTAACATTGACATGGTTAGAAATAACACAGGTGCCTATGAAGGCCACAAGCTAGTGGCTTCTTACATTTCCTGTAGACTCACTTATTATTTCCCACTAGCCGCAGCCAAGTAATTTGGATGCTGTCTGATATCAACTATAAAACTTCCGGAATGCACTGACCTTTGACCTCCCATGCCCCTCCCCTCTGACCATGTGCCACTAGGTCGATGCAAACCATGACGGCATGCTTCAAGGGGCTATAACTGAGGTGACGAAGGTCATAGCAGGAAGCTAATACGGTGTCAGTCGCGGGATCCACTATGACTGCACCGATGGGTTCCTGGGAGAAAAGGACAAAAAGAACTCACAGTGAGTTTCTCGCTTCATTCCCGGCCTTTGACTTCATCTGATTTGTACCCCCCTCCACTCTGGAGTTTGTAGCTCGATACAAAGTCATCTTCTGCACGAGGAGTATTGAACTCTATGCTATCGATTCGAAGAGGTGTACTATCATCGAGTGTGAACATTACAGGTCTACAAGCAGTTGCAGGGATTTTCTGTTGCAGGAGGCACACACCATGAAGACAAGTATGGACGAGCTGCAGGCAACAGGCCTCTCCTAGTATGTGAGGTTTGGAGAAAAATCCCCACATCACAAAATCCCCAAGAAACAAAAGTTCAAGTAAGACGGAAGACACAGGCAAAACCCTGAAACTTTCACAAGTAATTTGTGAGAGAATTTATTGACCTGCCAATCTTACCATTCCCCGATGAAGGCCATCCCTCGCTGCCCCTACTGCGTCCATCATGTGGCTGGCGATCCTCTCTTTGTCCACGTCCGTGAAGACTTGACCGCTTACGACCTGACTGAGCCTGAGAGTGTTCCACAGAGAGATGTATACCCTGAAGTGATTTTTACAATATGCGGGTAATTCTGCACCTAACCGGTTGGAGTCAAAGCCTTGGAGTTGCCCTTGGGCAAAACCCTTTGCTACTCATTGCATCTCTTCACCCAGAAGCACATGTCTGCTTGAATATGTAGATGAGCAGGATCAAGCCAAAAATTTAGTATTTTTCAATTCCGTAAAAATCAATCAGCAATTGGTGATGTTAAGCTATTTTAACAAGGAATTTTACAGAGTTTGGTTGGTTTTAAAAGTAACACCCAACTTTTTTTTCAAGGAATAAATACCCTTTTTAATTAAAAAAGACATCTGATTGTTAAATCGTGGTAATCGTTTAGAATTTCATTACTGTCTCCCAATTAAAACACCGAGTTTCACTAATGACATTCAAGTCCCAGTCAGTGTCTACTGTCTGAGTTTTGAGTCATGAATTTGAGTCACGCCTAGGGTAAGAACCTCTCAATAATGAAATACATGTACATCTGTTAGCAAACAACCAGAAGAGGAAAAAACATGTTGATTTGGTCGCAGCTCATTGCTTAACCAGTGAAGGGGTGCACTCGTACTTTGTATCAAGAGTTTGATGACAGGTAATAAATTAATGTCAAATGTCATCTCATATTCTCACCGTGCCAGAGGATATTTCCAAATACACTGCAGTTTTTGACAACGGGAGGACACGGTCCCTGAAAGTTGACTGGTTCCTCAAATCATCATTGATTGATTGATATGTCTCTTATGTAAGTTTGAACTAAACACATACAAAATTCTGATTAGAACAGACGTAACTTTGGTCCCAAGTGCACTGAGCATGTTTTTGTGGTAAAATGTTTCCATCCAAGCCAGCAATTTCATCACACATTTGGCAAGCAGGTAAGCCTTTGGTGACTAAATTTGACTAAAATCTGGTACACTGAGTTATCTGACTGCAAATTAACATAATTTGAATTCCCCAGATTGGGGAGTCAGGTTGGCAAGGTAGTTCTTTCCTCGCCTTCCATCTCTGTGGTCCTGGGTTCGATTACCGGCCCGGTCCACATGTGGATTGGGTTTTCAGTCCCTACCTGACTCCGTTATTGTTACCCAGAATATTCCTCTGGGGTTTTCCTCCCACCTCTAAAACTGTAACTGCTTCTTACTGTCTCCCATTTACTGTTGGGTTGTTTGGCGGCTGCCCGAAGCGCCCTTGTATGCCATTGGCTCAACCATATTTAAATGTATTTATTGCTCCATGCTTAATGTCTTCATTGTAAAGTGCATTTGAACATATCTATATGAAATTTGCGCTTTATAAATGAATACATTATTATTATTATCATAAAGACATTGCTGCTATACCTTGTGATTCAGGGCAAGCTTTTGCATAATGGCCATCATCTCTGGAATGGACTGGTTCCTTTGTGCCCTTCTTATCCACTGGAAACAGTGTATTGGTGCAAGGAATCTCTTATGTTACTGTATGTAACCAAGCACAAGCTTGCCCTGAATCACGAGGTATGGCTACGGTGTCCAAGTATGGAGAACTCAAATTGTTTTGGTCACGTGAATTTAAAGAACTCAGTGTACCAGATTTTATTCAAATTTAACTCCCAAAAGGCTTATTACCATTGGTGCAAACCTACACAAGGCAGAAGATCAAGTATGCACAGCCGGCACTGGTCACTAGATGGAGAAGGTGAACCATTTTCAAGAAATGGTCTTTGAGAATATCCCACTCACTGTTTGTTCTGATGGAAGACTACTGGCCACTCTCGGGAGGCCTCCTCAAACTGTTGCCTGGTGATGGGTGCTGTCTTGGATACCATGGCGACAAAGGGTTGCCCCAGCCCCAAGCCATCTTGGCAAGTGCTGGGCCTGCCACTGAAGATGTCAGACAACGATGCAGGAGAGCTGGACGTTTCCACGTCTTTGACCAGACAAAGGATCACTTCCAGACTACCTCCTTGGAGGACCACATAGCCACCAAAACAAGTTAGAATCTGTTTTTCTCCCCACACGCATAACAGTAGCATATTTTTCTTTAATTTCTAGCCTTAAAATTAACGATCTTTCTCCACAGTCAGATGGTTTCCAAGGCTGTCAAACTGCTGAGATTATCCTCAACTATATTGTGATTATTAGAAGATAAAACTGATTTTCTTTGGTATGTGCTATACATAAATTTTTCAAAGAGAAATGATACAGCACATCTGGTCTTGTATAATCAGACCACTGATTAACATAGAGATAATCAGTAATAAAATGTGGCATACTTTACATTTATTGAACCAGCCCAGAAAATGTTGTCTGAAATTTGTGTAAGTCTAATTTTTATTCCATTTTCGGGGCATGTCCTTTCCTACCATCAGTCTTTAAAAATCATATCTACAGTGACATATACTTTACTGTTTTATTTATAGTAGCATGTTTCTTGCTTCATTGCGCTCTTGGACAAGCCCAAGCACCAGGATATCTAGATCTGCCCCCGGACGTTCTCCCAGTCTTCAATGTCAATGCAACTCTAAATCATCTTGTTTGGCCTTACCTCCCAATTGTGGTTTGTCTTTAGTAATTTTCCGCACTCGCTTGACATGTGGTAGTGCAGTCAGTGGGAAGACACTTTGAAGATCTCTGTAGAACAGACAATTGAAAAACACTAAAGATCTCAAGTAGACAGAATTTCATATCTGAAAAAAATTGCTTCTTTTCTGAGGATCGTCCAACTGAGGGAGTACCCTGAAGATCTAAATTAATGTAATTTTGTAGTGTTTGATGAATTCTATCGCAACTGTGAGATCATGCATAAAATCTCACATGAAAATATATCTAAAGCAACGGTAATCAATTATTTTTTTCAATTAAAACTGAACGAAAACAAAAACCAAATTGAAGAGGGAGTTTGGGAAGAATAGTGCTTCACACACCTGATGATTCTTGAAGTTGTCTTTGGATCCAAAATTGGTGCAGCATAAACCTTCACTAAACAAAGAAAAAGAAGTCAGAAAGCTCTATTAACGGTGACCTGTCACTGTGACACTGTCAATCTGACGGTGTGTCTGTGAGGAGAGGCAAGCAAATGATGAAAAAGCTCAAGCTCACCAACATGAACGGCGACATCCTTGTGATTCACACTCAATTGTCTGACCAGATTGAAAATTGTTTGACTCACCAATCTTGCAAACTCTGGCATCTCCTTGTAAGTTTTAGCAAAGCCTTTAAAATTTCCCACCAACGATAACATGAGTCCCTTTTCAGTGAATAAATACTTTTAACAACTATATCTGAATATATATTAACATGAGTGAAAAGCCAACAAATTTATGCATCAAAATCCTGAATTCCAGAAAAAAAAAATTATGAGCAATCATACCCCTGGATACAGGACGAAGCTACCCTGGAACGACGACAAAAACAAAAGAGATCTACATGTACATGTAAATAAACTATATAGTTTATAAATAAAAATACCGAAGTCGACTGATGTTACATCACTTGAGAGAACTGGTATAGGAGTGCAAGTCAGCGAATGCTCGTCACGGCAAGCATTAGGAGAGGTTACTTCTGCTGTTGGATCTATTGAAGAAACATACAAGAAACTCACTTGGCGCAAAACTTAACCACACCAGATATCTATACCCGGACACCACTTGGCATCCTGGGCAAAATCTTTATGATGAGATGGGTCTGAAAATTCCAAGTGTTTTCTATTTTGCTTCAATACTGTTTTTAGGAGTTATAGCTTTCTGATGGCTGATATGTCACTGCTGGGAAAGACATGGTGATGTCCGTGTATAGAGTTCTTCCCATTTATTGGCTAAATCAGAGTGACCCATTGGTCACTGATGTGTCAAAGAAGTAAGAGTTAACCTTTCTGGCTCAGGCTTGCCAAGTGGTTGCCTGCTGGGATCAATGACAAATGTTGATATTTCTGATGATGTTCCCACACAAAAGGGCCTTTTGTCTACATGATGTGGCAGACAAAGGGGCCTTTTGTCTACATGATGGGGCAAAGGCCCCATACTATTCGTGTAATTCTTTGGGTGAGCAATATTAACAAGACAGTTTAGCTAATAGTATTGGTTGAGAGCCCGCCTGGTGGCCATCTTAAATGGCTGATATTCACCTGTTGGCTCATTGCAATCTGTACCCACCTACACAGTTACAGTACAGGCCACACATATGCCAATCTCTGACAAACAAGATTGGCATACGACAGGCACATACTGTAACATGGCTAGAAGGATGTTTTAAGATAATGAAGTAAAATTGTTGTGACTTTGTAAAGTTCTTAAAAGGTATTTATGAATGGAATAACAACGTGCTTGGCTGGTCTCACATGACAGTTTAAGACTGGTCAAGTACACATTTATTCCATTATTGGTGTTAAATGTATTCTACCCAGTTCTGCAGTGTTCTGGGTTGTCCAGAACATATGACCCACTGCCTTGGGGTTATATTCATGTTTGGCACTGCACAGTCTGAACTGTAGCTGGACCATGGATGAACCATGGAGGTAGGTTGAACCTATCCCAGTTATAGTTGGGACATGGCCCAATTAATGTTGGGAGTTAATTGAGGCATAACAGCGATGTCTATCTCTGACAACACCACCAGAACAAATGCTGGATGTGATCGGATGATCTGCACAATTGGTTGATTGTATCATGGAGATAACACCTCCATCCGTTCATCCTGCAGGAAATCTCTGACTTTTTAATAATACTCCTTTTCAAAACAACCTTTCACAGCCGTGAATCAAAAGAAAAGGTTGTTAGCTGATGGTGGAAGTATCGACTGATTGTGCAACAATCAACCCTGTCATGGAGATCAACCAATAAACAAACCCACCACAAACATGACAAACAAACCGTGGTTTTCAGTGAGTGATTTGAAAAATGTGACCAAAAAACCTCAAGGGACAAAGTAGAACCATCCTTGCTCTACGGTAAAACGGATTACAGCGACTCCTTAGTCAAGGTCAGGTTTGCCACTAAATCGGTTCAGGAAAGAATTCACACCACCAGACTATAGAGCAGGACACAGTTTGAGTTAAGCATATCGATAGGGGAACATGTACATGTACCCTCAGAACTGTGGAGTCTGACGTCCGTGGGGGCGGGGCGGACGTCGGACCCCACAGTTCTGGGGGTATATACTGCACTGGACATGCATGCTGGCTCGAGGTGACATCCCAGTGTGGGTACTTTACCAAGTACCAACGTAAAAGTAAAATTCTTTCAACAGTTTACGTACAACAGTAAAACTTATCAATTTTTCGCTTCTTAGACATCTCAAAACACTTCCAGCTATTTTGAAGGTTCATTTGTTCATTTTCTCGCTACACTGTCAGTTCACTCAGCCCCGCGTGGTCGAGACAATTGACATTCGTCTTGCTCCCTGTACCGGTCAGTGTATTTCCATATTGATGACACATCGTGTATACTAGTCTGGTAGGCCACTCTTTAGTACATGTACGTGTAGACTGCGCGGCGCTATAATATACTATCTTCAGTCCAGAGCATAAAAACAACTCATTCGTGAACTTGGCTTGGAGGTGACACTGTCGGCCCCCGACTTTTGAGCTGTTAATAAGGTGTTCTGTCGCAGTTCTTCGTGCACACTGCACACATGAAAAGAATGACACATTGGTAATGTACATTCTTTTTCTGATTATTCTGAAATGGCATGGCTTTCCGTCATACCGCGGTGTTTGGCTGTAGCTGTAGGCCTACCATGCATGATGTGCAGGCTTAAGTCTGGTTACTACGGGTGCAGAGTTGTGCACACGGCACGTATTACTTTACTGAACGAACACGGAAAGAGTTCGTTGGTACTGTTTGTGTACGTGCAGATGCGTAGGCCAACCATGTGGTTACTTAATTTCAGAAACTGTTAGCAGGTAAGGCAAACTTTGGATTATGCCTCACTGACATGTATAGTTTTGGAAGTAGGCCTACGCAGTACACTCACCTTGCGAGCCATGGAGTGGTCATTGAGGTAACAAAGTTGGACATGTGGGTCAGTTTAATGGTGTTATTAACAATAGCCTCTACTAGGCCTATATTACGTATGTTTCCTTCCTCGACTAGTTTTGCTTATTCCTCAGTGTCGTACACAGAATGCCAGCGAGCTTTTGTGATGGAAACGAGATATCTGATGGAATTATTTTGTTATTTAATGATCTTATATAATCAAATATGCAGTAGCCTTTTTCGAGCAGTGAAAATTCATTTATTCCCTCTCTTCCTGTAAAGCAAGTCAATATTTTGTTGCAACCGCATTTTTCACAAAAATGTGAAACACATAATTATGAAGTCAGTGTTGAACTAAAGGTCATCCTAATGGTCATTAGCTTAGAAGCTTTTTTGAACCCATATTTACGAACTTAAAAATCTGGTCTGCTGTGATTTTATTCTATCACAGCGATTTACTGCGTAACCGAAAGTCCAGTTGATATTTGAATAATAGAATATAATAGGGTTTAACAGTGTCGATAAAAATCAGTTTATGATATGTCAAGGATCGATACTGGCTTGTAATGACGATGTTGCATAAAATGGCTTAATATCACTTAAAAACCTTTCTACTTTTGGCTTTATCATTTGTGTCATTACTAACATCCGTTGCAAATACATGTGGGATCTGTCTGTAGGAAAACCCCATCAAGAAATATTTTCAACACTGCACTTTGTGTTTTGCAACACGTGGTGCGGCGTCTCCATGTGAGACTAAGGCATGCACAGGTATTGAACACTAGCTACGGCTCTCCACTGCTGCCTCTTTTGATCAAAATTTGAAGCCATAGTCGCAGGAGACACGACCAGATTTTGGCTACCCTTGTCACGCGCTGCCCCGTAAAATCCCATGTATTAACTAAATTGATACACAGGCTGTACTGGGTGAACATGAAACAGGGCTTGGACAACTCGACCATTTGCCAACTCGACTTGGAGCAACAATAGAAATAATAGAAAGTAGGTTTGCGGTAGCACCATGGACGTATCTCTTTTGTGAGTATTTGCGGTTCTGAAAAGAACCAGTGGTACTCGATGTTTCGAGCAGTATGCTCTGCTCGTCATCAGGACAATGCCGGATACTGACTGGGAGTGGAGCTTAAGTAGTCTGGTGGAGGATTCTGGAGACAGGGATTAGTCCGATGATGCGTGAAGGCGGGAAGTCTGGAGAAGGGATTAGA